GTATACTTTAGCTGGTCATACATTTTTCAATAATATGAAGAATGCAGATTCAATTTGCATTCAATGTAAGATATGATTGTTTTTAAAGCTGTATTTTGAAATTAAGCATGGAGTTTTTTTTGCATTAGAATTTATATTTTATTGTTGTTTGCTTATTATTTAATCATTTTCATACAACAACTTTGAAATGTAAGTAAATAATATAGTTATAATGAGATTATTTACTTAGTGACAATATTATGTAATATATCATACATTGTTGTGTATTGGGTCTGCTACCGAAATTTGTGTGCTGATCTGGCAACACTTTGGCCAGCATTATGTTGAGCTGGCAACATCAGAAATGAACGGTATTGGTGCAGGCTTCTTTAACGGGTAGCAAACTTGGATTACATGTACTTCTCTACAGAACATTAAAACAGTCATCCGATTTATTAGTTAAATGTTTTCATTTTACTGTAGTATCAATACATTTTCTGATCCATAAGTGATGGTTCAGATCCACCTCGATGAACCAGAAAATATATCGATAGCTACAGTAAAATGAAAACACTTAACTAATAAATCGAATGACTGTTTTAATGTTCTGTAGAGAAAATATGTAATCCAAGCATGCTACCCATTGAAGAAGCACGCGCCAATACCATTTGTTTCTGATGCTGCCAGTTCAACATAATGCTGACTGCAAGTGTTCCCAGATCAGCAGACAAATAAATTTGAGTAGCATACCCAATACACAACATACATAAATGTAAATAGAAATTTGAAATAATAATAATAATAATTTATTTTTTAAATTATTCATTTGTATGTTTTTTAATAGGAAATGTTTCATCAGTCACAAGCAGCAGTGCATGAACTTAAGAAAGAAAGAGATTATTATAAAAATGAGGTTGGTTTTTAATATATATATATATAAGAATGTAATCTAAATATATAAAATTACTTCTCCTGACTGAGTGAGTGAGTGATTGACTGATTGATTGATTCATCATCATTCAGAGCAAACCACTGAACCTAAAGAGGTGAAATTTTGTACAGAGTTAGGGTACATTATGAAAACGCACACTAAGAAGGGATTTTACGAAATTCCCCCATGGGGAGAGGGAAAGGATTAAGGCTTAACCTGAAGAACGGCTTCTACTGTACTATTTTAGATGAGATTTTTTGTTTTCAACTACATTTAGTCTTCATTGAGTACTTAGGTGTATTAAATTGATAACATTTCAGACATTGTTATAAATATCAATTTTTTAACCAAATGTTCAAACCGTTTTAAATTCAGATTTGTTATTGCATATTGGTTCAATAATAGAATGATTGTAAACGTTCCAGAAAATTGATCAAATTGAAAATAGTTCATTTGATTCTCAGCAATTCTCATCATTCTCAGTAGTAGGTGTTATATAACAGTTACTATGGTTGTTGAAGTACTGAATATAAATGGGGTTTGCTTGCAAAATCCACACGTGCGAAGTCACGGGTAACAGCTAGTTTAATAATATAAATTTATTGGGCTGCAGTTTTCAAAAATTGCAGAACTTTAAATTGTAAACATTTTTATATTGGTTGACTTATTCAAAATTTGGGTGTCTGGGAAAATATATTTCTGGATTTGCTATTATCCTAGTCTCCAAATCTGGAGGAAGATGAAGATGCGATTTTACTCGATCTTGTCTTAAGAAAATTTATGGCAGTTTAAATTAAATATATATTAATCATTTTTCTTTTTATAATTTGTCTTTAATAAAATTTTTGAAATAATTAGCTGAAATCTAGGAAATGCTTTAGAAACAACTTTTCTACAAACTTGATCAGAAAATTTTCCATATTCATTATTGATCATTAATTAACTTATGCAAATAAATTATATATTATTATCTAAAGTTGTCACTAAAGCAATATATTATATTCTTGATAATTCTTTCTGAGATCTGTCTAAGATTTTTAATTGAATAAAAAATTATTTTAAAATAACTGTTTTGAATTTTAATATTTCTCAAATTTGCAGTTAAATTCATAAACAATAAATTTTAGTTGAAAATTATTTTTTTTAATATTATAATATATTAAATTAGTTTTCTCTAAAATATAAGCTCTTATAACATCAGTCAATAAAATAATTTAACTTTTAATTGATTAATTTCAAATGTATTGAGTAAAAAATAAAGTAGTAATATGTGAGACCCAGGATTTAAAAAGGCTGAGAATCGAATAATTTCTATTCATTTCAAACCAAAANGGAAGTGACTCAAACTACAATTAACACTTAACAAAGAATTAATTAAAAATAAATTTTAGACAGTGTTAATTTACAATTACTTTAACATTGCTTTAAATATGTTTATTTGCATAAAACTTTTATATTTACACATTTACTTTTATATAGGTTGCAAATTTTAGCCAACAAGAAAGCTTTAAAGATGACAGTGATGATCAAATATTAATTACAGTTAGCAAAAGAGTGCAAGAGTGGAAGGTAAAAATAGTTTATTCATTAGATCTTACACTTTCTAAATATTGTCTTTTTATTATTTATTATTGTGTTTTTTAAATTTAGTATAATTTATTTATTACCATATTAAATTATTTATTATTGGGAGTTAACATGTTTGTTGGAGGTGTTGGTGACTTTTTCGTTAGAGATTAATAGTATTATATTGGTGTGTTTATGACAATAGTCCTATGGATCATGGTTCGGCCAAAAGATTGGAAAGTTGTTAACAGATTAAGTTTGAAATTGATTATGTGTCTGTTAATTATAGCAGGTATTGAGACCAACCCCAGTCCTCTATCCCACTCACTTCAGGAGTTAGAACATTCAGATATGAAGAAAAGGGGATGTGGAAGACCACGCAAAAAGAATTTCAAGGATTTGGAGAAGAACAACCTGCTAATGGACTTACCATGTGAGGGATACTGTCAATTTACAGAGTCTTCTTCTAAAGCTAGACCAGGGACCGCAAGGATTTTGAATATTCATGATTATTTTGAGTCAGTGAGGAAGGTGGAAGTACAAGAAGCTGAAGATTCTCAATATACCTTAAAAGCAGTTTACGAATTGATCCAAGAGAAGTTTATGCAGTTGAACACTGATTTGCAAGCGATTAAGACTGACGTCAACTCACTGAAGGAAGAAAATAAAGAACTCAAAGGTGACTTAAACAAAGTTTTTCAAAACATGGAAGAACTTGATCAAATAACTAGGAGTAGTAAACTTCTGAAAGGTACATTAGAATTCCAGATTGGTAGTTTGAGAAATGAGAAAACTAAGAATAATATCATAATTAAGAACTTTCCTTTTACAACAACTGACTGTTCTGGGGAGATTAATCATTTTATTAATACAGAGTTAAGTTTGGATAACTGTTCAGTAGATAGTTTGATTAAATTATCTAATAGAGATTAAATTATCTAATAAGTTCTGTATATGAGAGAAATTTGATTTTATGAGAATTTTGGAAAACGAAACCTAAATTAATAAACAAAGAGAAAGGGAAACTAGTTTTCACATCTGATCTGTGTAAACAATTGCAAATAAGAAAGAAAAGATTACTTCCTATGATTATCCAGGAAAAGTCTAGAGGTAACAAAATAGTGGTAAGAGATGATTACTATATAAAAGATAAGACATTATTCACTTATGATATCAATCTGAAGGAAGTTATTCAAATAGAGCATTTTTTATGAGTAGTTTGACAGAGGGCATATGAAGTTTAGCAACGAGTATGGGAGAGATTAAGAGTAAATCAGAAGTTGAAAACAGGAATACGGGAAAGAAAAATCACGCTTGTAAAGTTAACTTGACCTCCCCAACTGTGCTTGAACGAAAAAATCAAGAAGAAGCCAATAGTTTAATTTAAGTATAAGTTTTTGGAATATTCAGGGTCTGTATGAAAAAATTTATAAAGATTCTATAAAACAATATTTAAAATTGTTTTCAGTTATCGGGTTCACTGAGATGTGGATAATCGACATAAACAAAGTAGAAAAAAAATCTTTAGAAGATAAATATTGGGTCTTGCACAGCAATGCCCAAAGGAGACAGAGGCTTGGATGTCCATCTGGAGGACTTTTATTGTTAATTCAAAGGTCTTTTGGTGATTTAGTGCAATCTTATCTCACCTAAAATTATATTTTTATCCTGGTAGAACTGAATCAGACTCTTCAAGTAATTTGGGGTGAATCCTGTATAGTGGTTGCATTGATCTATTTATTCTCATCGGTAGATAACTCGAAGTGCTATGATGAAGTTCAATCAGTCATTGGCCAATGACTGATTGATTTCAAAGCTCACATAGGAGACAAATTGGACACGATTTATAGAGGTATGAGATCTGATATTAATTAATAATAGAAAAGAATCTAAAGATAAACTGGTTAATTTAAGTGGGAAAATCTTATTGGACTTACAGAAAAACAATTTCTTCATACTAAATGGCAGGGTAACTGGAGATATTACGGTGAATTCACATTTATAGCCCATTCTGCTAAATCTGTTATAGATTATATTATCTGTTTTGAAGATATGTTAAACCTATGTACTAAAGTGTCAGCACTTAATATAGATGAATCTGATCATTACGCAATTCAGTTGAAAATATTGGAAAATATGTTTGGTATAAATACTAGGAAGAAAACAATACAAGTTCAAGAAGACTTGAGATTATCTATGAGTAGAAAATTTAATATATTGAAACTTATAGAAGAAATCCCCAACAAAACTGAAGATATATTACTTCAAGAGAAAGAACATAATTCGATAGGTAATTATAAATTCCTAATTTCAATTATTGAAGCTTATCGGTTTAAGTACTGGCCAGGCAATAAGCAGCTGAGAAATAAACAAATTTGGTTTGACAACAAGTGCTACTATTATAAGTTAAGAAAACAAAGAAGCTTATTACAGTTTAGGAAAACCAATCTTGAAGTTGCTTGGAAAAAGTTTAGAAAATAAGAGGGTATATATAAATTATGTAAAAGCAAAAAAGAAAAAGTATTTTTCGGAAATTAGTAATAAATTGACAGAGTTAAAAGATACAAAAGCATTTTGGGGTATTGTAAATAGGTTCCGATGACCCTTCAGAATAACAAGTGTTACAAGCCGTGTACCATACATCAGTTGGCATCAACACTTTGAGATATTCTCAGCTGACTATCGTAGTAAAATCAGCCCAAATGATACTATAGGTACTTGTCTTGTGGAAAAATCTTGTAATGATGTGTTTTGTGTTCAAAAGTTACAGCAATGCATTAAAAAACTTAAGGAAAAAACAGCAGCTGGTAGTGATGACATCCCTAACAATATAGTTAAAAATCTACCTACAGACATAATCAATTATCTAGCTATAGACAATTCAATGAATTTTATAAAAAGAGTATAGTCCCAGACAATTGGAATAAAGTGATATTTCATATGTTGTATAAAAAAGGTGATAGAATGGACCTAGGTAATTATCGACCTATCGCATTATTATCTACCTTCCGTAAACTTTTTACTTCAATTCTATTAACTAAGTTTAATTCATGGATTGATAACAATAACTATAGGAACATTACCCAGTTTGCATTTATCAAGAATGGAGGCACACAACTGGCACTTTTTGTACTAACAGCTAACATCCAAATTCAGCTCCATAGAAAAAGACATAGGGTATTTGCACTGTTCCTGGATATCGAGAAAGCATATGATGTGGTAAGCATTACAGATTTGCAAAACAAAATGTGTCAATATCGGGCTGAGGCCCAAATGGTGAAAATTATAGGCTCATTGTTTGGTCAGTATGATGCGATCATTAAGCAAGATAACAAGAAGTGGTCACCTTTTAAGATAAATCGGGTTTACTACAAGGAGACTCTTGGTCTCCTCATCTTTTTAATTTCTACACTTTTGATATAAACTATTGTTTTGATAGAGATGATGATGGGTTCATAATTGATGAATATATTGTACACTCAATCTCCTATTCTGACAATATTGTGATAATCACTCCCACTGCAGCTGCGTTGTGTAGAAAAATTCAGGCATTGATGACTTATTTTACAAAGTTAAAACTTAAAATCATCACTAGCAAATCATGTGTAATGATTTTTAGAAATGGGGCTAGACTCCCCAGGAAGAATATGTCTTTTTATATTAATAAGGAAGAGCTAAAGGTAGTGAATGAAATCAAGTTCTTGGGGGTTATTTTAACTCCTACTCTATCCTTTGATAAACAAGTTAGTACATCCACGATTAAAGCTAATTAATAATGCAGTGTAGTTGTTTTCAATGATCAAGCTAAAAAATATTCAAGTTCGGTTTAAGCTGTTTAACTCTATTAATGTAAACGCAGTGAGTTATGCCTCTCCAATTTAGTATCTCTCTAAATATCAGAAACTGGAAGTAATTCAGAATAGATTTATATGTAAAATATTTTCATTAGAGTGTAATGTACCTGGTAGTGCACTTAGGTTGGAGCTGAGTAGATTTAAATTAAATACAATGTTTATAAAAAGATGTATTAAATTCCTTGTGAAGTTGAGGGATAGTAGACAGCTTTCAACCATCCTACTGAAACAATTATATCATAAATCTTTATTGAATGGTCTGAATAAAAACTGGGTGAGTCAATTGGCTAAAGTATTTAATAGTTATGGGTTTTCCATAAGGCCATTTTTGGAAACACCAGAGATAAGTGAAGAATTACTCAATTAATTTGGAATGTTTTGGAAAGTTCATTATCTCATGATATTGAAGATATTCATTTGCATAAATTACCAGATTGGTACAGCATGATACTGGAATATCCTTACATCAATAACTATATATTGACAAACTTACCATTTAATATCAAAAGATTCTTTATTCAACTTAGACTTAACAAAGATGTTATATTGATTAATAATAAATTTTATATGTATTCTAATAATGTCTGCCTGAGATGTAACAATAATTTTTCAAAATGTCACTTGATTTGTAGTTGTGAAAAGGCTAAAGAATTAAGACAGAGGTATGGTCTTCATTTCTTAAGTGACTATACCTTGGAAAAATCGATGTATAGTTTTTTCACTCAGTCAACATAGAAACAATATATAAACTGTATGATTATGTTAACAAGTTTGTTATGACCAGTTGGGAATCATTAATCACTTTACTTAATATGATATCAATGTACAGTACTAATAATAACTTCCTATGTAACAGGCTAGAGCCTAATACGAATAAAGATTTGATGATGATGATAGTAATTTCCTAGTTTCTAAGTAAGCAATATTTAAACTAAACAGATGATACGTCAAATGTTATGCAAAAACATATATTTTAATAATAAAAAAATTTATATTATGTATTATCATTATCTTTAAAATAATTATCTCAAATTGCTTTAAATTTAAATAAGATAAAATTATTAATTTATGGACTATTTAAAACAGTTCATGTAATGTTGACCTAATGAATTAATTAATTAATGCTTCTGGTCTTTTAAATATTATTTTATTAATGTTAGTTTATTGTGACTAACTTATAATCTATTAATAGGACTTGTTATACTGATTCAACTTGTGGATGAAATTAGAGAGATTGAATTAGTCTATTGATTCAAAAGGATAAACTTTATTTGATCTAATGAAATTTGTTGTTTTAATTTTTTGTTTATTAGCAACAATTTACAATTTATATATTTTTATAATAATGAAAGAATCTTTCTTTAATTAAGAAATCCATACATTGCTGAATTACAACAAAAAATAAAAATCTATAAACATTTGATTTGAAAAATAAATTGTCTAAGAACTGTCATTTTAATACTTTCATTCGTTTGATCAGTGAAGAAGTGTAAAGAGATAAAGTGAACACTATTTTAATTGAAACAATGAGTCTTTTTACAATAAAATTGAGCCAAAATTTAAAATAAAATCTTGAATTTTGTTTGATTTAATTTGATAAAATGAAAATAGATCAAAACAGAAAAAATACATGACTACATTTTTGATATATGTAGCTTTTGAAAATAAAATATTCATTAGTTAAATGTTTTTTAATACAATTTATGTATGAATCTATGGAATTATTATCTGTATCAAAATATGAAAGTACTGTATATAAAATATCTTTTAAATTATTTTAAAATTTCATTCTTGGTTGGTTTTTATGATAATTAAATAATGCATTTCTTATCTGATTATGTGCAGTTTACAATAAAATTAGTTAATGAAAAATGAACATTAGCAATTTAAATTTTCCTTAATAATTTTATATAAATCTTTGCTAAATATTTACATTTATGATAAATGTAGCACTTTTTACACAGATGTTGTATAACTGAGGTTATTTATTTCATAACTATTAAGAAAAAGAAATTAATCATTGCATGAAATACTTATATAAACATTTTACTGACATTACACTTACATATTCTTGTAGATTTAAAAGTGGTATATCTCATTACAAAGTTAATTTGTTATAAATCTGTAATAAATTTTACTTTAGTAATATTTACAGTAATTATTTATGCTCGTATCAATCTCTTTGAAATTAACAAAATCTTTTTTTGTTTTTTTTTTTTTAAGTTACCAATTTATAATACAAACATATTTCTCTCTTCTCTGACTCTGACTTTGATACAATTTCAGTAAGAAAACTCAATAAAAAAATTTAGATCTAAAATTAAGATTTTAGATTCTTTTTTTATAATAAAAATATATGATACTTTTTATTTAAAAACTTTTACAATTATATAACATTTAATTCTTTACTTGAATAATTTATGAATTATTTTGTATAATTTTACATCTTTTTTTGAGTAATGTATATAATAACATTAGATTCAAATTTTTAAAGGAAATATTAAGGAAAAAAGAAGAAGAAATACTTCATTATCAAGACTTGGTAAAAAAATTACAATCACAGATGATTTCTTTTAAATTAGATGGAGATCATGCTACTGTTGCAATACTCAGCAAGGTAATATTTTATATTATATTTTCTTTATATCTCATTTTGTAATTATTTTATACTTTAACCAGTTAAAAGGCCTAATGCAGGCATAGAGGCATACTAAATAATTAGCATGCATAGCAATGATAAATAATTACAAATGGTTTACCTAAAGTGTAGAGACATTTGGCAGAACACTGTTGAAAGTGAACTGCCCATTAACTATCATTGTCATGTACTGAAACCAACATTCCTACATCCAATTCTCATGAAATAACTTTCAAAATACCAATAAGATACTACATATTTCCGTTATGATTGCAAAGAAATACCATAATATCCTGTCTCCAGTTCAAAACATAATAATGAAACAAAAAAGCATAACTATCATTGTCATGCACTATGACCTACATCACTATATCCAATTCTTTTTAAATAACACAGCAAGCAGCATGCATGCTGAATACCATCAAAAAGAGTCGAGCACAGACTCTGGCAATTCCTAGGTTTGCCGTTATGCTTTGCTGGCACTCGATACACTGACAGAGACTGGCCATTTTTTCAGTTATATATAGTAGATAGATAAGCATAATAATAATAATAATAATTCCTATTACAAATAAAAATAATAATATACTGAATTATACTGTAACAATATAAAAATATATATATGTAATAATTTATATTGTTAATTTAAATAATAATATAGCCTAGGGGCACCCCTAGTGGCCATTTTTGTCGTACCATGACAAAGACTGCCCAGTTTTTCTGTTTTATATAGTAAATATGTAATGAAAATGAATAAGAATTAAACTAAAAAAAAATGTGTAATTGAGAAAGTAATTGTAAAATTTATTTAGCTTTTCATTTATGTTTTTTGATAATTTTTAAAAATTGTCATTTGTAAACTATCTCAAAATATTTACTTTTTGAATATCTATATATATAACCCATTCAATGGGTATCCGTCTGTCCCGTAACCGTTTGATAACGGACACTAGAGGCGCCCCTATCGTGTGTCATATTTCAAACATTCAAATTAACAATTTTAATTCTTATTTAAATTAACAATATAAATTTTTATTATTCATTTGGCCAATAAATTATTATTTAGTCAATATAACAATATAAATAATTCAGTATATTTGTAATAGGAATTTATTATTTCAGGGGCTTATATCTCTCGAAGGGTCGCGAGTAGGGGTATGGTTCCTTTGACTTTATTGTTAGTACAGGGGTCTACAGTTTGGGGGGGGTCGCCACCTCTTCATTCGGAGGATAAATCTTACCATTCGGACTTTAACAGAGCTGTAGAGCATATTGATAGGAACAAAAAAGTCAAAGGAACTGTGCCTCATAGAAATTTGTAAAGAATGCCCACTAAGGGGTGTCCCGAGCTACTAGTGAAAATATAAATCTAAGTAATAAATCTTATAAACTGTGATCTAATTTATATTTCAGAAAACAAAACTTGATGTTAGTCAATCCTGAAACAACACTGTGATACTTAGTTTACTGAGTTTCCTAAAAGAATTGATTAGTCCAAAACAATGTTTGCCTTATCAATCATTTTTATTTCATAAATTGCCATTCAATAGCCATATTGCATATTTTCAGGATCATTTATCTCATCTTTAGTATGGATTTTTATACATTGTTCCTATCAGGATTATCATTGCAAAGATGTCTTGTCAAAGCTGATAGGGGTAATATAAAATTCCACACTGTCTGTTTATTGAATGAGAAAGTGAAAGTTTGACAAGGAAAGTGTTGTTTTGGACTAATCAGTGTTTTTTAGGAAACTCCGTAAAATGATGTTAATAATTATATAATCTTTTATTTTTCCAAATTTATTTATGGTATTCTTAGTATAGTTTATCATGAATATTTTTGATTATTTTTGTTGAATGTATTTCCAAAATTTAGCAATCATTTACATGTAATGATGTAATAAGAAATATATTTTAGTAAATAAGATTTAAAAAATGAAAATTAGAATGATTGAATAACAAATGATTATTTTTTTGAAGAAAATATTTCAATGATTACTGAAGTGCAAATTTTTGATGTTATATTTGACTTTATATAAATGATATTAAATTAGAACATTGAATTCACAATGTCTGTCATTATAAATTAATACTTTGTTATTCAGTATTTTAACTTCTATCTTACATCAATGTACAGTACAGTACAGTAGTACCTCAGGATGCAAAATTAATCTGTTCCAAAACTGAGATCATATCATGAAAATGTCATAAGGTGAATCATTTTTCCCCCATATGATTACATGTAAAACCAAATAATCCGTTCCAACACGAAAAACACACTCAAATTAAAGCTAAGTAGTACATTGAAAAAAAAACTTTAGTAAGGAAAACACTGAAAAATGCATTTTGTAGTTGTAAATGTATAAATAACCATAATAGAATAATAATTGATAAAAAAAAATGTAGTTTTATTTGCACTTTACCTTTGAGGATAGACGACGGTGGAGGTGTAAACTGGTGGCGGAAGAGAGGGAGAAGGGAAATGATACTAAAACTTAACTTACATAACATAATGTAACAATAACTTAAAGTAACTTAACACTAATTTTTTAATCTTTTCTGTTTTATATATATATTTTTAAATTTTTTATTCACTGCTTTTTGCTTTCTTTCCTTCACTTCCACCAGCACTTTCACTGGATAGAGGTCACTTGGTAAAATATCTATCCAAAGAGGTTTGACTTTGCCTACTTTTTTAAATGTTTCTAAAATGACTTAGGCAAATGTCATTAAACTGAGAAGCAATACAGCCAGTGTGAACCTTTTTGGGATGTTTCTTTTCAATAAAATCAGTCACTTTCTGATAATACCTTAATATTTTCTTTATCGAGCAAGATCCTTCCATGACGAAGCAAACACACGGACTGAGATCAATGAACAGAAGTGAATAAAAAATGGTGCTGCAAACGAACGTAATGTCATATGGTGAGTTTTTGTTTGTACCATGGAGCAAAAATATGTTCAAATTTCATGTCGTATCCTGAAAATTTCGTATGCTGGAGCGTTCGTATCCTGAGGTACTACTGTATTTTAAGATATGAAGTTTTAAATTTTATTGTGTTTGTTCTAATGTATAATATCAATAGATAAAATTATATTTATTAATAAACTTTCATTGTTGTATTTCAGATTTGATATATTGTTAACAAAAAATAATAAAATAAAATTAAATTCTTTTAATTAAGTAAATATATTACTTATTTTAAAGATAACATATACATATACTATGGATTGGTTTATGCAATTACATTTTTTAAAGAGAGAAAATATGAAAACAATAATTAAAATTTATATATAAAAGGCTCTTGAAGAAAAAGATAGACAGCTTAATTCATTAAAACAACAATTAGCTCGAGCAACAAAAGACATTGAAGAAAGTACTGAAATCATTGAAAATTTAAAGCTTCAACTAGAAGATGGAAAAGATGATAATAAAAATAGGCAGTCTGATAAGGTTGCTCTTCTTCAAAATTCATTACATGAGACTGCACATGCTCTTGAATTAACTCAAGAAATGCTAGTTGAAATTGAAGAAGAAACAAAGAAGAAGGATAAAGCTCTAAATGAAGCTTTGAATCGTATGCGACAATATGAAATGGTAGGTTTATAATAATAACTTTTTATTTTGTATTTAGAATCATACATGTTTTTAATTCATTGTTGAATTTAAAAGCTGAATTAACTTTATTTTAAATAAAAGTTATTTTTATATTTATGAGTGCTTTTCAAATATTTTTAATTAAAAAATAAAGATTTTTATTCTTATCTTTATAATTAATCTTAGGGTCAGTATGGATTAGCAGATGCAGTTACAGAAATCAAAGAATGCAAGAGTATGATAAGGATTAGAGATAAGTATGTTTTATTTTAATAATTATAAAATAAAAATGATTTATGTTTTTTAAACTATTACACCTGTTTGAATTATAACTATTGCAGCAATAAATAATTTTAATAAGTATTTGATACAAGCATTTTGCAAATGCATTTAATTTAAAGTTGTTATTAATACCATAGTATAAGTTAACCATCAATTATCTATCAAACTGGTTCCAAAGCTTTGTCAGATCATCTTAGGTCATATAACATTTCAATAATAAATTGTGGATTACAATTATATGTCTTTTACATTTCTAAAATAGCATTGAATACTAGAAACTACCATTGTTTTAGTTTACTGAAACTAAAACTAAAACTTAGTTTTAGTCACTCAAATCTAGTTTCAGTACTAAAACAAAAACTGAAACTACATGTATATAATGACTAAAACAACCAGCAGCACCTACAGACTATAAAAAAGGGCATGTATATTATGCAAGAAGCTTCTAACTCTATGTTTCAACATTGAATTAGAACTTCTACAAGATAGTGCTAGTTGCACTTGGGCTAAATTGGCCTTGAAAAGAAGGAATGTGGTTTTGATCAAAATATGACAAATAACTATATAAAAATAGTGGACATGGGACAAATATCATTTATTAGTATTTTTTTTATTTACAGAATAGGCCAGAAGTCATAAATTTTCTGTTGTTTGTTGATTATGGAATTTGGGGCCCATTGGGAATTAGGAAAAGTGCAGTCCAGCTGAAAAGGAGCATGTATCCAAGTGCCACAATATATGGGCCATCTGCTGAAAACATTACTAACAACTTAAATTTAAAGTGTTTAAATTTAAGTTTTTAGTAATACTTAATTTAAGGTATACAGTAGAGCGTCATTTATCCGAATCAATTGGGGACTGGGGTTGTTCGGATAACCGATTATGTATGAAAAAATAGATTAACCTATCCCATGTTGAAATTTTTCTTCGTTGCATGTCGCTTCACGTTGAATTTTCATTGATGTTAAGCCTAACGTAAACTTTTTAAAATAATAATCGTGGCTATTGTATCGTTAAAAATTATTTCTTTATTTTGTACAAACAAAATAAATATATTGAAAAATATAAAAACCAAAAAAATTATATACTTTAGAAGTTGATCTAGTATCAAAAATGTTCGATTCAGCACCATACACAGTCCTCAGAAAAACACCACACAAAAGTGCCAGTGCTGCCAGCTAAAACACATACCCAACGAAAAAAATATTGGAGTAGCCCAAGATATAGCCAAAGATTGCAGCGCCATAGCACTAGCAAAAATTTAAATTTGCCGACTGGAATGCTTTCGGATAAACGACACTCTACTGTACTTTAAATGGTTTTTGCTTTACATCATTGACATTTATATAATTTTTAGAAACCAAATCTAGAGTTATATGTAACTAAAATGAGTTAAAAAATGAACAGAATAAAGGGATAAACAAGAACTGCAATATAGACATCAAGTCTGTGGCTATTCAGTGAATAAGTCGACAGTTACAGGAATTTTAAATTCCCTGTCACACTTCTTTTTAGATTAAAGATGCCAAAAAATTGGTGGTAATCTATATATTCATTTATTTTCTGTTTTTTGAATATAATTACAATATTTCATTTTTTAAATTCTTCAGTCATGTAATTAACAAAATTATTCATTGCTACAATAGATTAATCAATAAATGATTACATTTTAAAGTTCTTAATTCAAGCACACTGAGATTCATGAAAAAGTTTCAAGCACACTGAGATTCATGAAAAAGTTTCAAGGATCTAAGTATATTTAGCATTTTAATCATTGGAATCTATAAGATCCCAAAAATAAAAACCATAGTATATTTGATTATTCAGGTTATGTGGAAAAATAATGCCAATTAATCACATCTATTAATAGCAATGAAAGTTATAAAACCAAATTATTATTTTAACTTGATTCCCTCTCATAAATTAAAAATACATTAAAAATATCTAAAAATCTAAAAATAGGTCTTATTAAAGATGGTTTAAACCAGTGGTTCTTAACTTTTTGAAGTCACGGAACACTAGATTAAGAAAAATTTGCAGAACAGCACAATCACTAAGATCACAAAATAACAACAAAAATATGAATGAATGTGAATACATAAAATACATAAAAGTAAAAAAAAACATTAATCTAAAAAATTGTATTTGTAAAAACTGTAAAATAAATCTTTTATAAAAATGGAACTTCTTTAAATAAATTATAATGGGATACCTGAGCATGTTGGCTTTTGCAGATTTCATCAATATCAAGTCTAATATGTAATATATAGACAAAGAAATGAGGGTAGCTATTAGTCTTCTTGTTTTTGAATTTATGTGTTGTTGAATGTGAGATCCCATCTCACGCAAATGTTACATTGAAAACTGCTAAGAAAATTTTTATTGTCCTTATGGAGAGAGCTGGTTATCAGATTGGAGAAAAATCCAAAATTCCTCAAGAATTATTTCAGAGAATTTCATTTTTAATGTACAGGTAACCCCCGTATAACACGGCACTTCTATAGCACGGATTCGCTCTAACACGGTTCGAGAATTGGTACCATCCCCCGTATAACACGGCACTTCTATAGCACGGATTCGCTCTAACACGGTTCGAGAATTTGTACCATCCCCCGTATAACACGGTACTTTTATAGCACGGATTCACTCTGACACGGTTCGAGAATTGGGTAAAACTCGTACAACAGGAAATGTAATAAATTTTTACATACTTAATAATAGTTCACGAAAATTATCATCTTCGTTAACTATTAGTACTTAAGTACGTAATGCTTCTGATGTTGCCGAATGTTTTTCCCTTATTCCATACTTGCTTTATTCTTCATAAGTGTTTAGCACCATATAAGGAAATTTATAAAGACCTTTTAACTAGAAGCGAGCAATCTAAAATTACAAACATTTTGCAATAGGTAAAGCATGGATCTGAAGATAATGCAGAAAAATGCTCAGAGGATAAGGATAACTTGCCAAAAAGAAAACACTCTCAGTTAATTAATAGTGTTTTTAGTGATGACGAAGAAAACATTGTTTAATTTATGTTAATGTGTATCACTTAAAAAATTTTAATGAAGATATTTATCTTAATTATGAAAATATACTAGCATGTTTTTTAATTTTTGGAATCTAACCCTCCTTTTCGTATTAGTTCTTTGTTTCGTATAACACGGATTCGCATAACACGGCAAGTTTTTGGAACATAACTACCGTGTTATACGGGGGTTACCTGTATAGTACCATGCATTGACAAGCTAACTAATAGTTTTTGTAATGAAAATTTCCAACTTGATATATTAACTGGGTCAAATTGATTTCATAATTTTCTATATTTAAGGAAGGAAAGTAACTTGCAATCTTTCTTCCAATAGTGTTAAATGTTTTGTTATAATGGAAGTACATACATTGACATCTTTATTGTGAAGCAAAGAAACATGTATTATACATGCCTATTTTTTTTTTTTTCTGAAATGCGATTTTTCGGAGATACTTTTCTTGAAATGTCAGTGGATGTAAAAATATTTTAATTTTTTCCTTGGATACTTGTATTAACGTAATTCAAGTAATGAAAAATATTGGCTAAAAATGCCATTTATCACACCGAATATCATTTTTAAGACATTTTATAAAAGCATTTGTACCTTCATTTTGGAAAAAGGCCTACAATTCATTCTTAAGTTCTAAAAACATGGGAATACTACTTTATCCTTGAATAACCATATTACTTTCAGCATGCAAAAGAAAAATTTTGTACTGAGCTTCCATAGTTATTCAAACTTTGTAAAAAAAAAAAACCCTTTTTTTTAAATATTTTCTTGACTTGATGCAATTAAACATATTTACAACTTGATCTAGTGTAGGTTTTAATGTTGCCAGTAATGTTTTTGAAACTAAGGATTATCTATGCAAAAAAATTTGCTTAGATATAATATCTGAGTTTCTTGTCTTTGCAAAGGTAACAAGGATAAAGTTCAATGCAAACAAAGAGCAACTGCAAAATGCAAGTTGTGCCTTTGAATTTGCACCTTGCCTGCATTGTAAACTGAAAGTTTACAATGCAGGCAAGGTGCAAATTCAAGTTTACAATGCAGACAAACTTTAGCATAAGTTTTCAATTTATGCTAACGTTTGTATAATCATAGTTTCAGCTAGTATGCCACTTTCATAATTTTGTAGAACACTTGCAACAAGTTTGCAGAACACTAGTGTTCTGAGGAACACTGGTTAAGAACCACTGGTCTAAACAGTATGAGGCATTTGATCAGCCACAGATATCGTTTAAACTATTGAGAAAAACTAATTATTAAAAATTACTTTATAAATGAATCATTATCTTGATGATGATTTAATTAATTTTATACTCTTTTGCAAAAATAGATTTAGATAAAATATTAGATATTAGATTATATCAGTAAGTCAATGACTACTGTATTTAGCATTATCATCATTGTGACTTTTGATGTCATAATAAAAATTTTTTAATTTTTTCGAATTTAATTGCAGGCAAATAGAAGACCTTATTCAACAAATAAATTTGGCAGAAATAGAGATTAGTGATTTATCTGATGAAAACGAATTTTTAAGAAAAAAATTGGGACTAGATAGTCAACGTTCTCAAGAATTATCTCGAAATTATAAGTCTCCTAAACAAAAGGAAGCTGCATTAATATTATCTCTTCAACAGCAAGTAATATCATTTCTTACAATTGATGCAACCAAAATAAAATTAAAGTTAAATATTTGTTCTATTTTATTAGATTGAAAGTTTAGAAGAGGAAAGAGTGCAACTTAAGCAACAGTTACGTGAAAAAAATGATAAAAAACAAAAACAGTATGTTCTAATGGTTAAACAATTTTAAAGTTTTTACAGTATTTAAATAATAATTATATTTATTATTTTTACAGTTATTTGTATGAATTTGTCTGATTTAATTAAAAAAAGTTATTTTTCTGATTGGTTTTAATTTATTTTTCATTGTTAGATTTCCTTTATTTTATTCTTAATATTTATTTATTGTTTCTGTTTGTTATTTTGAGAAGTTTTTATATTCAAATACAATATATTCAAATTTGAGAGGTGAAAAAGTTATATAAATACAGGGGGTGGACAAAATAATTCAAACACCCTCCATTTTGCACTGTCAAATTGAACTCTTCCTGAAACATGTGCAATTACAGGTATCATCCTTTTTTCACTCATTTGTGTAGCTTATATCACTGTAAACAAACTTCTTTACTTTTGCTGGTTTTATCTGAAAAAGCTATTTGTCTGTTTTTAGAATGTGATTATGTTGAAACACTGTTAGATTTGATTGTTGGTGCACACCTAGTAGAGGCTTCTCTGACATGAGTTGCTGACTTTATGGGTATAGTGAGATCTACTGTTTCCTTGATCACATCTCAGTACACCCACAAAACATCAAAGAGCATGTGCAGTTGTGCAAAGAGTACAAAACTTGGACATCAGAGACATGGAAACATGTGATGTGTTCCAATGAGTCAACTTTTACTGTGCTAATATTATCAATTCAATATATCAATTTATACTTATATTGCCTTGTTGCCATGCCATTTTTATTTCTTTGTTCTACATATATTCAATATACATAATATTGAATATAGTTTTTTCTAACTTATATTCAAATGAAGATATGCTAATAATTTCTTGATAAGAATTTGTATAAATTTTAGAAATTAATTTTTCACTAATAGAATTTATTTAGGCAATGGTTATATATAAGATTTCACATAACCTTACACAAACATTTAAAAAAAAATTAAGTAACAAAAACTAGAATTTATCATCATAATTTTATTAATAAATGCTAATTTTTGTTAGTTTGATTTTGTTTTAATCTAAGCAAAAATTATTTTTGACATTTAACTAGTAAAATTATAAATCAAAATCTTAAAAGATGGAATTCTAAATACTGTAAGGTCTCTTTTTATGCGATTTTGAAGTTGTGCAGTTTGTATTTCATCCAAAAATTTCTTGGACAAACATACATATAGGCTTGTTTAGGAAGCCCGCGTATAGACAGTCTCCAAAAATCGTGGAATGCTCAAAGCTCACTCCATTTGTTCCACTGACATATAACGTTTATGGATGTAAAGGACAGCTAGATCTACCTTAATCGCTTTAGTTCCTAGCAATTTTTGATATAAATGTAATTAAACATAAAAAATACTTAAAACTGAAAAAAACGAAAGAAATGCGTTAATTTTGAAGAAAAAGCTTCAAAGTTTAACTTCCTTTGTCTCGCCCTTCTGTGAAATTTAACACCGATGAGTCATTGTTTACACATCTGGATGACCTTGAACACAGCTGGAGTTGGATTTCCCGGGGCATTCTCATAGACGTCGCGGGAGGACAAGGGTTTAAAGTAGGGTGAACACTAGCTGGCCGTATATTTTTAAATATTTTTAAAAAATTTGGAGACTTAAAAAACATTCCAAAAATTCAAAAAAAAAATTTAAAAATGGCCTTAAGGACCGTGTTTTATGTAACGCTATGTAACCTGCCCGAGTTAACTCGGGCGAGGAACTAAAGGGGTTTTAATTAACTCTTCACATCCAGATGTCAGTGATTTGTTTTTAGAGTGAGCTTTTGCAATTCGGGGATTCCCCTTGTACATGATACTTACCATCGACAAGTCGCTATTACATCATTCTGAGTTTCGCATTGAAAGGTATAAACTGTAATTGTTTTGAAATTAAATTTTATTTTAGCGGTGTTTTGTTCATTTTTATAATAAGTAGCGAGTTTAAATTTTGCTGATTTCAAGTTGCAGTAATAAGCAGCCTATTTCTTTTAATTTCTGCAAACTTTTTTATGCGGTTTTAAGTTAATTTTAACTCGTTGGTTTGGTTTTATGCGATTTTAGAAAATTACGGAACGTATCCCTACTTTTTCAAGGCAAGTAAAGTCTTTTTTTATGCGAATTTTTTATATGCACTTTTCTGTAGAACGTATCCACCGCATAAAATGAGACCTTACAGTATATAATTATTAAATTATACAGTAGGTGATCGGTTAACAAACAGTTCGGATAGCAAACAAATCGGATAACGAACACTTTTGCAAAAGATTTTTATGATCAGACAACCAACACTTTACTTAATAAACATAAAAAGAAGCGATGGAAAATAATAAATACCAATTGATTTTCCCTTGTCTTCAGGTAACAATTTGAAACCTTTCAGAGCACGAGTCTCAACTCGATACCGATTGGATAGTATTCCTCTAAATTTTGAAATTCTCCCTTGTAATTCCAGCTTTTTCTTTACCTTTCTGACAAATATTTTTTTATAGTATTCATGAGACTGTTGGACAGGTACTTGCTAAATTTTGCATCGGGGTTTACTTATGAAAGGTAAAAGGATATTCGTTAATGTTTTAATACCAAATTTCAAATTTCATCCAGGCCTTGTTTTTAAATAATTTTTTGTGGGCCTAGTTGATTTCTATTCTCTGAATTTTTGTAAGTGCTTTTCTGAACTTTTTATTTAAAAAAATAAACTGATAATATTATGGAGCCTAAAAAGAGGAGTGTCAAGAACTGTGCTCACCATAGAAACCAAGTAAAAGAGATAATAACCAAGGTAGAAAGTGGGCACAAGATGTCTGATGTTGCTAGGCATAAAGGTATGTATGGCTTGAACAGTCTACAGTAGGCACAATCTTAGCTATGAAAGATACATCAAGAAGTCTCAAGCTGCTAATGGAGTAATCAAAATCACATCTGAGAGAAATAAAGAGCATTTTAGAGCTCATAACGGAACCTGAAACTGATCTGATGACAGAAGAACTCCAAGAACTCTCAAATGAAGAATACCAAGAAACTTCTTTGGTCCTCTTTCGTCTTCCTCTTTTTCAAATGTCGACATCTGCTACTAAAGATCTTTTGAAGAAGTGGGAGGATGTCAAATCATCCAAGTGGCATCCAAACCAGAATAAGGTTAATGGAGTTAGGATCTTTACAATTACAATACTATTAATTACTTCCGAAAAATTCTGAAGAAAAGAGAAAAGCAATCGACATTAGACAGATTCTTTAACCCCCACAAATGGAAAAAACATGACTAATAAAAATTTGTAATTTGTAATTTGTAAAAGAGGGTGAGAGAGCTGTCGGGCCTTGGGAGACTCCATACCGCCTGACTAATAAAAATGCAAGACTGTGAATATATGTATTTTTATTATTACATATAAATAAGCATAGTAAGAAAGTATATATTTTTTATTTTTTGGAGTCTCCAGAATGAATTAATCAAATTTGCATAAAAACCTATGGTAAATTGATAATTGGTTAACGAACAATTCAGATATCAAACAAAGTCTTGGAACAGATTATGTTCATTAATTAACAAGGAGTGATTTCCAAGTGGTGGAGAGCAAGTTGGCATCTCTGCTATTGATACAATTTTCTTTGAGGGAATTCACAAAGATTTCTAGTGTTTCTATTGTTCTAAGTTTATAACTATCGAGTATTGGAATTAAACTCTTAGACTCTTCTCAGTTGGCTGTTACATTCGGCTCGCTTGCAAATTGTGCTAGGGTGGTATTAAACTTATTATTGTGTGTATTGTATTTATGCTCAACTATCCTTTTTGAAAGTGATCTGTTGGTTGAGCCTATGTATATTAAATTTTTAATCAGATTAAATCTGTTGTCCTCTAGTGGAACCGAGTATATTCCAGGTTTTCTGGCTTCACTGCATTAGCCAGAAGTTTATATATCAAAGGGTTGCATTTGTACATAAGATCAGCTTTGACCTTCTTGGCAATGATTTTATATGCTTGAATCATTCTAGGGTCAAAATCAACCACAATGCATTTTATTTGCTTTTTAAGAGGTCTGGGATTTATCCTTTCTGTTTCTAAGCACCTATGTATCATGTGAGCTAGACTATCTATAAGTTTACTGTTGTAATCATGGGCTATGGCAATGTGTTTAATGCATTCTATTTCTAGCAGCACATCCTTGATGTTAGAGCAATGGGTAAAGGCTCTTCTGATAAGAGCCCTGTCGCAGCTATTTTATAAGTAAATGGGTCATTAGATGCTGAGGAAATGAGGAAAGATTGTAGATGGGCTTATGGTATACATTATGGTATACAACCATATTATAGGTATATTTGGAGGTTGAGGAAGTGTGCCATCTTATCATCATGTTGATCTAANGCAATCGACATTGGACAGATTTTTTAACCCCCACAAACAGAAAAAACATGACTAATAAAAATGCAAGACTGCATATATATGTATTTTTACTATTACATGTAAATAAATGTAGTAAAAAAGTATATATTTTTTATTTTTTGGAGTCTCCGGAACAAATTAATCAAATTCCCATAAAAACCTATGGGAAATTGATAATCGATTAACGAACAATTCAGATAATGAACAAAGTCTTGGAACTGATTATGTTCGTTAACCGATCACCCACTGTATTTACCATATTAAGTAATGCATTATCTAATTTTTTTGTGATATATCATTAAATTTGATAAGTAATTTCCAACTTTTATATTTTTAGAATTTTTTATATAAAATATATTTATGATTTTTAGTATTGTCAGATCACCACCTGTTCAGTCACCACTTATTCAGTCTCCAAAAAAAAAAGAAAATGCTCTACAGGTATTTTTTATAGTTTTTATGACTTAAGTACTGTAAAAACAAATTTAATTTTTTTAAATTTTGTAGTCTCCTCGTCATAAAGAAGACAAATTATTAGTATCCGAATTACAATCAGATAATCATAAATTGAGAGAAGCAATTGAAAATTTAACAACAGAAAATCAAAAACTTCAAATAGGATTAAAAGATATTTCTGAATATTTGAAGGAATTGGATGGTAAGTATAATTAAAATAAAAATAAAATATTAAGTTATTACACTTATAAAACTTATAATGTGAATTTATTTAAATAATTTTAATTCTAACATTATATAAATACTTCAAAATTTGGACAATAAGTTTCTAATTGGCAAAATTATACAGAAGATCCTGCAAATTGAATTCTTATATTCTTACTGTGTCTAAATATTCACAACAGCATCAGAAATCCTTTATTTAACTTTCATAACATATTTTGGCCTTATTTTTTATTTTTATAAACTTTGTTTTTTTAAACAATGAAGGAAATTCTTCACTGTTTGATAATAAATATGTTTTATGTGTTTATCATGATTTTATATGATAATAAAATAATTTGTTATTTTAGGAAAAAAGCTGATGTATAATAGCGAAGAATTAGAAAAATTAATCAAAGTAAAATATTGAAATTTTTAAAATTGTAAAAGAATCATTTCATATTTGTTTAATTGCAATAATTTTAAATTTAGGAGACCATACAAAACACAGCTTTATCAGTCAATACTACAGTTGACATTGCTAAAAATGAAGAAGTAAATACCGAACTTTCTGATAAAGATGAAAAATCCTTGAGTGAAGCACAGCCACTTTCTTCACCACAGATTAAAAATGATATTTCTGTTTTAAATAATGATATGATAGAAATTTTAAAGGTAAAAGAACTGTATTCCTGATCTTAAAAATAACATTACTAAACAATTTTTTAAAAGTATGTTGCATTTTTAGGAATACAGTTCTTTAGAAACAGACTATGCAGTTGATGAAGAATTGGAAAAAGTTGAAAAACAGTTACCATTAAATAAACAACAAATAGCTTTATTATATAAGCAGTTTTTAGAAGAAAAATCTCAATATGAAGCAGAAAAACAAAAATGGATGCAAGAAAAAAAAGAGTTAGAAGAAAGAAATGAAATAGACCAAATCAAATTAGAGGAATTTCAAGTAAGATAAAGTTTGCAAACTTTTACTTTTAATTCATTTTAAATTGTTATTTATTAAATTATTCAAACAATATTATTTTATTATTTTTGTATTCAAATATATTACGTTTCTAAGAATTGTTTTGACTCTTTTGTCCCTTACATTTATCCAAAATCATTTATTTGCATATATTTATACTTTTATTTTTGATTTATTTTTAATAAAATTCAAATTATTTATTTTAAATTATTTTTGTTCTCTGTATTACCATTACTATTAAATCTTACAAAATATTACTTCCATAACTGTTTTCAAATTTTTNAATCATTTATTTGCATATATTTATACTTTTATTTTTTATTTGTAATAAAATTCAAATTATTTATTTTAAATTATTTTTGTTCTCTGTATTACCATTACTATTAAATCTTACAAAATATTACTTCCATAACTGTTTTCAAATTTTTTCTGTGTAGCACTTAATGGATACTTTATCTCAAGATGAATCAGAAATCAAATGCAGACTAGCAGAAATTGTAAGACAAATTACAACATTAAGAGTAAATGAAACTACTCTTAGTAGGAAAGTTAATATCCTTCAAGATATTGAAACTGAAATAAAAAAAGAAAATATCAAATTAAAACAAGAACATGATAATATTGAGATTGCAGCATCTAAAAAGATTGGAAGTTTACAAAGGTTTAAGGTATATTATGTATATTATTAAATTTATAATTTTATGTTCTATTACTATACATTTTTCAATTTGAGTGACTGAAAATAACATATTCGTAGATCTGATATATAATCAAAAATTTTTTAAAACTAGATTATTTTCTGTTTATTTTCACAATTCTCAAAACTATGGTAATATTATTAAGTACTCTTTCAAATTAGTGATTTTAAATTTCTATATACAAAAATATATAATTAATATTAGAAATGAGACTCTTAAGCTTGGTTTTCACATTACCAGAAAATATTTTATAAACAGAAACCAGGAAAAGAAATATGATGTCACTTTCTGGCTAGAAATTTCAGATTGAACTGATTTTGAACAGAAAAAAGGAGTTGAAAATATTTCTACATTTTTGATCTGTTATATTAATACTACATGAGATGGGAGAGATAATTTTTTGATGTAAGTTTTCTAATTGCTGGCAACATCATTTGACAGTTAAAAGTTTTCAAATCAATGGCAGAAGGAGAGGATAAAAGAATTTGTTTATGGTCAATTTTTAGCGTTGCTTTGATAAGTAACAGATTTCATATTGACATATGCTGATTTACTAAAATATCATTGTCCAGGTTTGTTTGTTATTATTTCTGTTGTTGGCTGTGAGAGTTTGCTAAGAAATTCTGTGCTTAATTTCTGGTGTAGTGGTTATAGAATAGAAACAAAATAAGAATGAAAACAGATTTTTTTCAATGATTTTGTTTCTGGTTTGTGGAAATGAAGCATTAGACCAAGATTTTAGCTGAGAATCTTGATTGAATTCTCATTTATGATAGGTTTTAATTCTTCTCATTTAAGCATAGTTACATTCAAAGAATAGAAAGGAATATTAAAAAGTAATTTTATCAACTTTCAAATTTTTAAAATTTTGTTTTAGGATTTAGCCAAGTATAAAATTAAAGCTTTGATTTCTGCTTTGGAAGAAAGTGTTCCTCTTGAAGAAGTTGAGAAAGTAAACAAACAATATATGGAGTTAGCTATTAAATATAATAATATGTTAGAAAAAGAACTCTCAATGTCAAATATGGAAAAAGAACAAATGGTAATGATGACTACTTATTTTAATTAAAAATATTTATTAAAAAATATTAACAGAAATTAAAAATTTCAGCAAATGATAAATAATTGGGAAAATGAAAATAAAACATTGCTGGATATCTTAAAAAATGAGAGAAAGAAGGTGCATTTACTAGAAGAAACTATAAAAAAGAATCTTGGTATTTATATATTATTATTATAATCTTTAAAATGTATAAATTAACATTTAAAACCATATATTTAATTTATCATTTACAGGGGAAAACAGTCTTAGAGAAAACTCAGAAAATTCAGATCTTAATTCACTATCAGATCAACTAGCTACATTAGAAATTAAAGAGTTAAATGAAAGACAAAAGGCAGATCATTTACAGCAGTTATATGAACAACAAAAGCAGTTAATTCAAAGATTAGAGGATCGTAATGATGAGCTAAATAATAAAGTTTCAAAATTAATGCAAGAAAGTTTAGATAAAGTAGTAATGAATGGAAAATTGATAGGTAGAAAATAAATTATTTTTTTTTAAAATATTTTTCATTGTATCAATTAAAATAACTTACCTTCATGCAGAAATTACAGATATGAATGATTCTGAAAATGATAAGAAAAAATTAAAAGAATTAGAGCAGTCTAAAATGAAATTGCAAATTGAAATATCAAAACTAAAAGAAATAGCAGAAGTTGCTCATCATCAATTGAAATCAATACAAAGATATAAAATCTCACAAAATGAAGAATTAAAGATCTTGCAGAAACAATTCTTTGATTTACAATGTTCAAGTGATGAAAAAATGGCCTTAGGTAAACACAATGTTTCTCTTATGATTATAAATTTATTATTTATAAATTTGAATATATATTAATGATTATTGATATAGATTAAATAATAAAAAAGAATTTTTTAAAATATTTAATATAAACTATTGTTGTAAATATTTTTATGAAGTTCTTAAATTCTTTGAATTATTAAATATATAATTTTTACTAAATAAAAATAACTAGATAAATTTGTTAATTAATTAATTAACTACAGAGAAGTTAATCTAATTATAGTTTTGTTATTGGCTAACTGAATAACTAGTGAAAAAAAGTTAATTACTTATGAACTTCTTAAAATAGTTGTTTTTTTTTTTTTTTAACATGGTACTTCATAGGATATAATGATACATTAAATAACAATTTCTATTTTACTATATACTTAAAATTATCATGAATATTCTAGAAATTATACAGTGAAATGATGAATTTGTTCATTCATTTTGTAATCAATCTTGCGACTTATGCCAAAAACACATTACTTATATACCTTCCAGAAGAAACATTTTCAAGCACTGATGTACCTGATGTTTCTTTATTTTAAATGTATAATGTTTACATTTTAAAATTCTTTTATTGCTTGTTTGAATTTTGATGATTCTAACATTATCTGTTTATTCTCATGAGAATATACATAACACAATAAATAATAGGCTGAGAAATATAATGAGATTAGAAAACATCATTCTAAGCTTCCTGAACAGAATGATTTCTTAACATGTAATTTGTTAACCTGTAGTCATTAGAAGAACCATTATAAAAATAAAAAAGAGAAGTGCAATAATTGGTTACAGTTTAGTTTCTTTTTTTTCAACTTTGTACTTTTATTTTTATTTGTCAGTTTTTATTTATCAGTTTATTCAGGAAAATATAAAAAAGATTCTGCTATACTTATTTTGAATGTATAGAAATATACATTCAAAATAAGTATAGCAGAATCTTTTTTAGAAATATACATTCAGAATAAGTACAGCAGAATCTTTGTACAAAATTTAAATTTATATAAAGAATCTGCATCAATATTATTATTACTATAGAAGAGAGAGAAAAACAGATTGTACTATTTGTTTATCTAGTTAAATCTAAGTTAAGCATTAAAAATTTATTTTAGATTTTATAAATATGCTTAGTAACAATTTACTATTAGTATTAAAATATATATGTAAATTTTAGTAATAAATGTTAGGCATGTTAGTAATAGTTGACATATGTTAGAAATATGTATTAACAAAAATTATTTTTGAATATTATCAAGATAAAAAGAAATAGATTAAAAAAAAATAATATGAAAAGTATGCTCAATATATAGTGTTTATTTTTTATTTTTACTTTATTTTATATCTACATTAAACATTCTATATGAAAGCAAATTTTTCAATCAACTACTGTTTTTATCACATTACTCTACCAATTTTTAAATAAGAAAATAAAGCATAAATTTTAACAATAATAATTTCATTTTCAAATTTTTCTAATAAAAATAGAACTTATTATTTAAGTATAAATATTTTTCTTCTCAGGTAAACTCTATCGCCAAATATTACAGCTTCAATTAAATGAAGCATCAATCATTGATCAATTAGAAACATCAAAAAAGAAAATAATGAAAGTAGAAGCAGAATGTTTACAATTGATGAATAGGTAAACAGCTGAAATTTATTTTATTTTAAAAATTTTAACTTCATGCTTAATTTAAAATCTTTCAGATGTGAAAATAAGGAGGAAGCTATTTACACTCTTCATAATAAGTTTTTAAATAAGTTTTGCTTTTTAATGAAAATTATAAGAGAATTACGTCACGAATACAGTGGATCTATTTCTATATCCAAATTAGAAAAGATTCATGATAATATAACTCATCTTAGACAAGAAAAAATTCAAATTTTAAAAGATATGCAAAATTATAATGAAAAATTGGAAACAGCACAATTAAAACAACTAGAATTTGAAAACAAAAATAAAATTTTAGAAGAAAAATTAGAAGCTATAAAATCCAACAAATTTACTGAAAAAATGTTTGAGTGGCACAATCAAATTGAATCACTTCGTTTAAATGAGTTGAAGTTAAATCGTGAAGTCAAAAAAAAATCACAGGAAATTGCTCATCAAAACAATCAGATTTCATACTTGGAGAAACAACTTGCAGATTTGGAAGAAGAAAATATAAAATTAGAAAAGAAATTGGAAGATAAATGGTTACATTGGGAAGAAACCGAGATTGAATTAGAAATGCAAAAAAAGGATATTCAAAAAACAATTGGAGAATTTCCACCCTTACCTCAGGTTTTAATAATTNCATCAATATTATTATTACTATAGAAGAGAGAGAAAAACAGATTGTACTATTTGTTTATCTAGTTAAATCTAAGTTAAGCATTAAAAATTTATTTTAGATTTTATAAATATGCTTAGTAACAATTTACTATTAGTATTAAAATATATATGTAAATTTTAGTAATAAATGTTAGGCATGTTAGTAATAGTTGACATATGTTAGAAATATGTATTAACAAAAATTATTTTTGAATATTATCAAGATAAAAAGAAATAGATTAAAAAAAAATAATATGAAAAGTATGCTCAATATATAGTGTTTATTTTTTATTTTTACTTTATTTTATATCTACATTAAACATTCTATATGAAAGCAAATTTTTCAATCAACTACTGTTTTTATCACATTACTCTACCAATTTTTAAATAAGAAAATAAAGCATAAATTTTAACAATAATAATTTCATTTTCAAATTTTTCTAATAAAAATAGAACTTATTATTTAAGTATAAATATTTTTCTTCTCAGGTAAACTCTATCGCCAAATATTACAGCTTCAATTAAATGAAGCATCAATCATTGATCAATTAGAAACATCAAAAAAGAAAATAATGAAAGTAGAAGCAGAATGTTTACAATTGATGAATAGGTAAACAGCTGAAATTTATTTTATTTTAAAAATTTTAACTTCATGCTTAATTTAAAATCTTTCAGATGTGAAAATAAGGAGGAAGCTATTTACACTCTTCATAATAAGTTTTTAAATAAGTTTTGCTTTTTAATGAAAATTATAAGAGAATTACGTCACGAATACAGTGGATCTATTTCTATATCCAAATTAGAAAAGATTCATGATAATATAACTCATCTTAGACAAGAAAAAATTCAAATTTTAAAAGATATGCAAAATTATAATGAAAAATTGGAAACAGCACAATTAAAACAACTAGAATTTGAAAACAAAAATAAAATTTTAGAAGAAAAATTAGAAGCTATAAAATCCAACAAATTTACTGAAAAAATGTTTGAGTGGCACAATCAAATTGAATCACTTCGTTTAAATGAGTTGAAGTTAAATCGTGAAGTCAAAAAGAAATCACAGGAAATTGCTCATCAAAACAATCAGATTTCATACTTGGAGAAACAACTTGCAGATTTGGAAGAAGAAAATATAAAATTAGAAAAGAAATTGGAAGATAAATGGTTACATTGGGAAGAAACCGAGATTGAATTAGAAATGCAAAAAAAGGATATTCAAAAAACAATTGGAGAATTTCCACCCTTACCTCAGGTTTTAATAATTTATTTTTATTAAAGTTATTTAAATTTTTTATTTGAAATTTTTAAAATATATATATTATGATTTGAAGGATTTGTTAGATTAAACTATTTTTATATTACATTATTGTAAAATGGCAGTATTATATTTAATCTTAAAAGTAAAAATATTTCTGTAAGTTACAAAAATTTGACAGAATATGCTTAGAACTTGTACTGTTACTTTATACATGAAATAACAGTACATAATGTTTGACAAATCCTTTAGTCATTTCTTCAATTATAGTAATAATTTTTATACTTTATAATTATATTTTATCATCTAAATATTCTTTTACATCAGAGATGCAAATGTTCAAAACATTATATGTGCATATAAAATCATATTCATATTTCATAACATACAAATATTTATTTTAGTTTATTAGGTACCATAATTAAATTTCTTACAAAATATGAGTTTATTGCTGTGGTATAGTTTTCAAAGTTTCAAATATTTTGTATTTTGAAAAATATTTTGTATGTCAGATAAATAATCTGAAAGCATTTGATTCTAAATATGATATATTTTACCCATAAAGTGTTAGAGTTGTTATTATGCAGCATGATATAATTAAACAGGAACACTAAAGTAACAGATTAAAAATAGTTAAATGTATAAAATGTAGCTGTTCATACACCATTAAATTTTGATGGTGTAAGAACAGAAAATTTGTAAAAGAAATGAAAAAAGCCTGAAGAGGGATGACAATATTTGTAGAAAATTCACCCAAAATGCATAGCTTGTTTTTTGAAAAATAAATGATGGTTTTTCTGTTCTGAGTATACTTTGTCTCTGATAAAAGGCAGATAAAAGGGAAAAAACAAAATCAATAATTTTAGATTTTTAGTTTTATTGTTTTTAAAGCTCGTTTTTAAATGTATCAATATATTATTAGTGAATGATAAGATTAAATACCCAACTACAGAATTAAATATATGATAACATATCAATATATTAATATTATTTTGTAAATTTGAGATATATCTTCATATTTTCTAAGATATGAAATGTAATGAAGGCACAAATCTACACTTATCTTTATTTGAACAAATATTTTACAAATAAATTTAAGATTAGGGCATTTGGCTGTTGAAAAACTAGACCAGTGGTTTTCAACCTTTTCACACTCATGGACTGACAAAAATAAAGGAATTATGTTGCGGACTGGTGAACTATCAAGAATGAAATAAAAACCTAAACCTAAATAATATTTTTATTGACTAATTGAATAGAAATACAAATTTATATGACATTATTAGTGCCCTGTCTGCTGTTGCTTCTCTGTTAGGAAATTGGTTATTCATAGTTGCAGTTTTGTTTCTGAGAGACAAAGGTCAGCATTTACATCCATTCGATTTCTCTGCTTGGTTTTTATTATTGACACGGCAGAAAAAGTCTTCTTGCACAAATAAGAAGTTGAAAAAACATTTAATAATTTTATCACTTTATCACTCAAATGTTCTTTCTTGGATATTCTTTTTAAAGCAATATCCAAAATTGAGGCAATGATATCGTTTTATGCCTCAAAACTAGAGTGACAGTAGATCAGTAGATAATTCTATCAGCTTTTCTTTATCATGAAAATCAAACGCACATGACATCTTTCAGGAAAGGATTATTAAGCCAAAGGTTGCCCTTATGAGGATCCTCACTTTCAGGGAAATAGTTATTAAAGTTTTCAACTTTAATAACTATAGCCCTTAAATGCTCACTAATTATTTTGAATATTACTTTCTGTTTGACATCAGCTGAAGTTAAAAATTCACTCAAAATTGAGAACATTTCTACATCTTTCTTATGTACTGTCCCAAAGATCCAGCTTCTTTTTGAACACATCCATTTTATTTCTCACTGTAAAGATATTTGTACAAGATTCCTGAAGTGAAATGTTAAGGACATTAAGATTAAATGTCCACCATATATGCAAGTTTAGCCATCCGTTCTTCATTTAACAAAGATTCTATTAAATTGGATTTTTGAGTGTGTAAAAATTTTGTTACCTCTTCTCTTAATTCAAAAAGGCATGCAAGAACTCTTCCTCTTGATAACCACCTCACTTCAGCATGGAGAAGATGATGGTGGTGTGAGTCCATACTCTCACACAATATTGTGAACAGCCTGGAATTCATAGCTCGACTACGAATTTTATTAACAATCTTTTCTACATTATTCATCACTGTGTTCAATTCAGCAGAAAGCTTCTTTGCAGCTAAATGCTCATGATGGATGTGTGAGTTGACAATATTTCTAGGTGTGCAACTTCCTTTATTTTTGCAACTATTCCAGAGAATATCCAACCATACTCGCAGCACCATCCGTACAGACTCCCGCGCATTTCTTCCAGTCTAAACCTTGTGCTTGAATATAATTATTAAGAGCACTAAATATCTCAGAACTAGTAATTCTTCCAGGTAAATCTAGGCAACAAAGAAATTCTTCCCGTAAGACTTCCTCTTCACTATATCTCACATAGCAAAGAAGGATAGCATGGTTACTCACATCAGTAGATTTGTCAAGCTGAATTGCAAAATATCTAGATTTCTTTATCCTTTCTACAACTTGAATTTTGCCATAACAAAGAAGAATTATTGCCATATCAACAATTCTTTGAATAGTATTATCCGACATGGGTATAGTCTCCAGTTTTTTAATGGATTGAGGTCTCAAAATTTCTTGTATGACATCTAAGATGCAAGATTTTACTAACTCCTCACCAATCGTAAATGGCTTTTTAGCTTTAGCTGTATGGAGAGTCACTAAGTACAACACTCAAAGTAATGACTTGTCACTAGTGACCATCATTTTCATTACACTTTTCTGTGTTTTAATTTAGTCAAATAAAATCTTTATGCTTCAAATTCAAATGATGAGCATGTTTCAATGGTTTCATGGCATCATTTGACAAAATTTTGAAGCACACTACATATAAAGGTTGTGGTGATAGTTCACTGCCTGGTGCTAAAATAAAACCAAACTTTAAATACTCTTTATTGTAATGTCTGACAGCTTCCTTTTCACTTTTTAGGTGGTATTGCACATTCCAAAGTATTGACATATGACTTTTTCTTTGCTTGTTCTGAATTTGAAGCACTAGTACTTTGTGCATTTTCAGAAGCATCACTATTTTGTTCTTGATTATTGCCTTTGTTTAAAAAGCATAGAAGGCTTTGCTGTTTGCTTTTTTTCTTTCCCATTTTATAAGGTTTCAAGTTTTACAAAAAAAAAACATTGTTAAGCAAAAACAAATACATGCTTGCTCAATAGTATATGAATACTGCCACCTACCTACAAGTCTGACAATCAGTATTGCCACCTCATAAATACTCATAAAACTAGAGAAGAAGGATTTCCTAATTTCAATAGAAATTGCCATACATCAATTATCTGGTCCAAACAACAACACTTTCCTTCACTACATATATTCAAAAGTATAATTTTTGTCATTTAAACGTGTAAAAGATTGAAAAGGTTTTTCCAAAAAAACTGACAATGAATATAACCACTGCTAATTTGTAATTTACTTAATTTCTCATGGACTGGCAGAAAATTTTCGCGGACCAGCACTGGTCCACGGACCATAGGTTGAAAAACACTGAACCAGACAACATATGTAAAAGTTGAAAATTAAATTTACCAATATTACAAAAGTTACAAGGTAGTGATAGACCATATGAGAAATGGTCCTCAA